GCAGCAGCATCACGGCCGCTTCATACCAATCCCTTCGCTTCATAATTTGCTTAGCAAATGAATGAATACGAGCGTCAGGAACGGTCGTCCATTTGTGGGCGGGCGGGCGTGGCGGGCGTTTGGGACGTAAAGTTGTGGCTTGATAGGGCCCTTATAAGGGCACCTTCCTCGGGGAAACCGCTATGCAGCGCCTGCCCAGGGTCGCGGAATTCTATCCTGCCAGGAGTATTGATCCTAGTCGTCTTGGGGGATTTATCGTGCCAACTGCCTTTAAATTGATTTCAGGAGAACGGCTTCTTTATTGAAACTGAAGCGTAGAACAATCGAAGGGAGAAGTCTTCTTTCACTACGGAGAGTGAGCTGGCATAATTGTGGAAAAAGCATGAACCGCTATGGATTTCGTCAAAATCGTGTCGTATTTGGTACTACTCATAATGCACTATTATGTTAATAACTGGCTCTACATACCTTATTGGCCTGCCATTCGGCCCATTTGTGCTTCAAGTAAACGTATCGATGGTCGTGGTCTACGAGGATGTTCCTAGCCGCTTGAGTCGATCGTGTCACATCGAGAGTGTCGTCGTTTCTGGCCACAGCCTCTGCAGACGCCACAAACCTCTCCACTAAAAAGCCCTATTACTTCTTATTCATCTTGAGGTCATGCAAAAGTCAACTCGTGGGACAAACCTTCATGTTTCTCCTGCAACATTGTCTCCTCTATCATACGGAAAACGTTCTCCACTTGGGCGACAACCCTCTCATTGGCGAAGTCGCGGTTCGTGTCGAGCAATGACGTGATTCCGTCAAACGACGACTCCAGATCTTTGGCGAACTTGTGCAACTGCAACAGTATTTCGTCTTATACTTGCTTGTAGGTTTGTCTTTTGAGAAGGATCTTACTTGAACGAAGGAGCTTCCGATGCGAATTCTGTTTTCAACCACATCTTTCAGTCGTTCGTAGATAGTCTCGAACTCCTGCATTGTTTTTCGTTTCCACAACCGTCATCTCAGATCTCTTGCTCAATGCTGACACTACGGAAGCGTCACGATTCTGCAATGTTTTTTTTCATTATTCTCAAATTATTGAACATTAAGTATAGTTAAAGAAAGCTGCAATTCTTTGTGAGTGGGGAGCCACTTCTCCTTCCGGCCTCTACCTACCATAACTTCTTCGATGAACTTCTGATGTGCTTCCAGGAAATCGACGGCTTCGTTCAACGTTCCACCCATGTCAGCGTGTGTGGCCAAGAACGGGACCACTTGCATCCCGCTTAACCGATGTTTGGTAAAGACTTTCGCCAACTGAAGCAGCGCGTCGTTTTATATTGGTATTCTTTGCTGTTGCTCTGAAACGACCTAAGGAGTGAGGCTGGTCTGTGATCTGTGCACCATCACCCACAAAACTTTTATCACGATGATGGTAGATAAATTGTTATTACTATGGTCGTGCATTCCACAATTCACAGAAAAAAAATTTCATAACGGTTACGTGATAAATTTTGAATAAATGTTAGGGCTCAAAGAACAAAGCGTAATCTTCTGTGAGCCGGTACATAGTTTCAAGGCCTTCGCTGTTGATCAGTCCCTTTCCGGGATACGGCAATGGTTCCACTTTTACTCAGAATCATAATGGCACAATGACTTGATGTGGCCTAGACAATCGATCTTGTGCAGGCCAGCTAAATAGAGAAGCCGTTTTTACCTTAACCGAACGAGTTTGACGCAACTTTCATTCTAGAGCTGATTTTATAGGCTGATGGAGGCTTCGCTCGGCTTCCAAAAGGATACGCTTGATCCGACACTTGAACCAAAACCGCGTGCATGTCAAAACAGATTGTACTCACCATTTCTCGTTGCGTCGCGGTTCTTGCCACGTGCGAGCGGAATGGTTCGGAATGGGTCGTCGGAAGTGCAGTAGTGCTCCTCTTCCTCCGTGCAAAAGTGCGCGGCGTCTGCGTATTGGTGACAAATTGGTTGGCTGTTCCCATACCTCGCCCACCAGGGAGCAAGCTCGCCTTGCTATCAGCCAAATGCGTCCTGATTGTCTGCGCCCTCCCACTTCTGATGTTGTTCTCATTACTTCTTCCTGACTGCGTTGCTTTCGGCTGCAAACACAGGACTCTGACACAGTTGCTGCCTCTACCTCGTTGATGCGCCGCGGACTACGGCGACGGCACAATATACGGCCACCACTGCCCTCCCATAGCTCGTTTTCGTGCATTTTTGAGCTGAAGAGTTGGCCGCCACTACTGCATCTTTTGGACCAATCCCCTCAGTTTATCGGCAAAGGCAATGCTGGAGTGTGTGTTGAGATCGTCCTTGCTAACTTTTAACTTTCACTTTCAACTTTTTTTTGGAAGTTCCCTCTGAACTAAACGTGCCTTTTTGGAGTGTCTGTGCTTATTATTTTGGGAATGTTTCTTTTCGCTGAAGAATTCATCCAGCGACCAAGGTCTCTTTGTCATCAGCATGTTTTTTCAACATCATGGTTTGCGATTTTTTTGTACGCCTTATGGACCATTCCTTCCCTTCTGATTAACAAAAACAAGAAAATGTGAAGCAGCGGACGTTGTTCAGTTTGCCGCATCATGTCACGGATTCTACTTCGAGTCGATGTACAGCATTCAGCTTTGAAGTGGTAGCCTGACTTGCCAAAACTGCACTGGAGCATTTTCACCCTCCCAGCGAGTCCGGCATCAATTCATGATAGTAAGGAATCTCGGATGAATAGGCAGGACTCGATCCATGTATTCAGTCTCAAACCATACATAGCGCTACTTGCTACCAGGGCACCAGCATCCCCAGTGGGGGAGATGGGCAAGAGAATCGTAAGTTGCCGCGTCGTCGCGCCGTCGTCGCGCGCGGCAATGGACGTGACGTTTCGTTAATTTGCACCACCTCTTCGATTGGAGCATTGGCTTCATGTAGACAAGGACATGGTAGACATTTATGTCTATTTTTGGTCATACGTTGTCTTCTCGACCAATACCACCTAAAATCGTCGTCATTAGCGGGCGCGACGTCGCACGCGGCCCGCTGGCGGCGAATTACGATTCTCTTGCCACATGCCCCCCACAGTGGCCCTGGAGGCTGTTGTATTGCTAAGTACTAGTACTAATATTGTATAGCTCCAAATACCTCTTGACTAATTTGAGTCATATTTCTCCTTTCGTTGGCAAGTTCTTCAAGTACCCGCAATTTCGCATCCATTTCTTCACATCTTTGTCTGACAAGACTTTGTTCCTCGTAGGTGAGAACCTCCTTCGCTGAAAATCGGTCTTTCATCGACATCAGCCCTTATACTGCTCAGAAAGCTTTCAATGGTTACAACTGACCGGATATGTCCCTTCCTTCTTGTATGACCGTAGTCGCCTTTTGCTGTGCCAATGGATAGAGTTCGCCTGCCATTGCAGCATTCGCATTCCGCATATCCTCCTCCATCATTGACAGTTGAGAGAGCATCTGGAATACTGTGTAATATATATAAAAATAGAGCAAAAAAAATGAAAATGGAAAAAAGTGAAAAAAATACTAAAAACTATTAGAAAACACTACCGAACAACCAATGGAAAAAGAGGAAAATAAATTTGAAAACTGTTGAAACACTCTGAAATCAAGATTAGTCGTATTACCGTAGGAGCCATGTCAAGTGTGAGTTACTGCTTAGTTATGATAAGTGAGCAAGTGATGTTACGCCTTCCAATTTCCGAATTGGTAAGCAATTCTGCTCAGTCACTGGTCACCACCTGTACGGTACTGTTTAGTTGGATAGCTTTGTACTAAAGGTAATGGACAAGTACTGAGAAAACAACAGTCACCGGCTGATCAAAGACGTCTTCACAATGCCGCTGAAACGCTCTATACTCTCAGACTTACCTGTCGTGGCGCTGTAAGTGAAGACAGAGCAACCCTCCTGATCCCACCATATCGCCGAAGCAGGAGGAAAGCTGCGGGAAGATAAAAAAGCCCAGCGATTCTCTTTCGCTCATGGCTCCGTCAACATGGCTCCGAATACAGTCCCTACCATCAGATCCCTCCCAACGAGTAGGTGACAAGAGAATCGTAATTCGCCGCGCTGGTGGGCGTCGCGTGCGACGTCGCGCCCGCAAATGACGATGGTTCCAGGTAGTAGATGGCGACAACAGGCAATTCAGAACCGAAAATAGTCATGAATGTCTACGATGACGGGGTCTACATGTCCGGTGCTCCAGTCGACAGGTTAATACGAGTTTAGAAAACGCCGCTCCCATCGCCGAAGCGGCGAAGCGGCAAATTACGATTCTCTTGTCCGTCTCCCCTTCCTATCAGTGACCCAATTTTGACTTATCATACGGAATCATATGGAATCTGGCAGCTGTAGCAAGACACTATTTGGCTTGGTGAGGGGAGAAGGGCATTCTGCTACGTTCGTTTGTTAGATTCTGTAAAGTAACAGGGCTCACTTGAGTGAGAGCTGTCAATCTTGAGAAGCTGCATGCAGGGTGCAGCATGGTGATGTGTGAGGTGATGGTGTTAGTGCGACCCCCACACCTGAAAGAGGGTCTCGGTACGACACCCCCCCAACACCTACCTACCAATTTCCCAAATTTTCCATTTTTTCACCCAAAAATTTTCCGTCAAGC